TTTCAATTATTTTATTGGCCGTCGACGTGAGTTATTATTTGATTTATGAGAACGAAGGAACAAAGTAAGCTTTTCTATTCTCATCATTCGTCATACTGCAAGATCCATTTTTTGTTTTTCATTTTTTTCTTCTTTTTTTTTAATGAAACTACTTCATTTGCTACATGTTAGACACAATTAGCAACTTTTCAAATTGTACATTTAATATCCATTTCAAGTGTCGGTTCTGCACACTATCTTTTATCTCCTGGGACATTATACTGAATCTTTGTCGTGGCAATTTAATTATTTAAGCGCATGACACTGAATGTTTTAACTAAAGCCAATATAAGTAGTATTTCAATAAATAATCTCTGAATTATCTGAACAGCCTCTGCACTTGTGTATTGTTATATTAAATGTGAAAAACAATGAACCCTTTGGAAGATATAAAATTATATTTTTTAATAGAAAAAATATTTTCATATATGATTATCATAAAGATTGAATATTTCATGAAAAAGATTTGAATCTAGTAAGATTTTGTTATATAATAATGTGCTTAATGCACCGGCAATAGTTTGTATTTTTTTTTTTTTTTTATTCTATATTATATTGTTGATATATATTTATACTATTTGAAATTAAAGTATAGTTGCCGGTTCATGTCAATACTTACCCCATTTGTCTCTTGTACCGTGTGTTCCATGAAACGCAGACGGCTATGGCTATGGCGGTGGTAGTTACGATGGTGGCTACAGTGGTGGGCGCGGTGGTGCACGCGGTAAAGGTACGCATTAGCGTTCCTTCTCTATTGTTTTATATTTTTCCCGAACATTCTACCTTGTTAGCATATGTCTGATTTCAAAATTCACATTCACTTCTTCTCATCGCTCATTACTTTTCAGTCCAACCAATCTTATTTGTTTTTTATCCTCTCATCGTCATCATCAATTCCCCCCCAACCCCTTTTTTCTCTAACTCTGTGTGTACGTGTACGTTTGGACATAAGAAATTCATATTACCATACTAATAAGAATAAAATTTTAAGCTTATTGGTATGCATTATTGAATAGACTGAAAAATAGTGAGTTCTCTTTTTTAATTTATAAGATATCCTATGTTAATAAGGTTCTTTCAGTTATTTGTACATTTTTCTTTAATCAAATAAAATAGAAAGATTTTTATGTACAATGCATATTAACCGTAAGAATGTTTTTTAATAATATTCAATTTTGTGTACTAAATTCATGTTAAATGTGTTATTATGTGATTGTTTATAAATTGTTTCTTCCACACATACATGTTTCATTACAAATTCATATTTATAAAGTTGAGATTTGATTAATGAAAGATTTTTATAATAAAACAGTTACCTGAAGGTAGCAGTTATTCATTATTAATTATATTTTTCCCAATTAAAAATTTGTATTTCTATTACCATTTTTTTTTTCTTTCTAATTATTTTAAAAACATATTAAGTAAAATATGATACGTGTTATAAAAATCACCAAAGAATTGTATTCCATACCACTACTAGATCCATTTCATCTTTATTTCATTCATGTATCCTGAACCTTAAACATTTCTGGTTATTTGGTAGAGATAATTGAATTTACTGCTATTAATTGTAGTAATAGTATTACTTCATATCATACTGTAATGAAATAGTGTATAAGAAGTATTTGATAAGATAATAATAAACCATTTAAGCAGTTTGGAACACGTTTTCCTCGATGCTGTTTGTACCATGATACAACAGTGTGGGGGAGAAAATCCAATTTCAGAAATATATTCCAGATTCCAGAAATGTATAAGGAGAAATGGAAGAGAATATGACTCAGAAAGCAGCCTGCAGCTTACTACCTTAGCCTGTAGCCTCTATGTAGATTCTTCATAGTTTTTAATAGCCATTACGTTAGTCTTTATATTATTTCATACTTTAATTTGTTTTTAATTGATAGAAAGTGTGCGTGCGAATTTTTATAAGTAGAACGTTTTTTCACGACGAATCTGTTGTAATTTCTTGAGAAAAAAAAAAGGAAAAAAAGATAACGAGACGGGTGGTGAGGGGGAATATCCTAAGTTAATTGGACTAACGTATGTCATGGGTATTGTTTCAGGAGGCTCAGGCTACGGCGGAAAGCAGAGGGGAGGTGGTCGTCAGAACCAAAGGCACCAACCCTATTAATGGAAATCATTCATTGCGACCGCAATGCAAATTCGCATTGTAACCGCTGGTGAGTCATCATTGATTTCCTGAACATCTATAACTATAGATCTCAGCAACCTTTCTTTTCCTTTTCCAATGTCATTTGTTATCAAGTAACAGAAACTAATTTGTTTTATGTGGTGTTGTGTATTTTCAAATATTTGTGAAAAGAAATGTAGTGCAAAACCACATGGTTTTATAGAGAAATAATGGTGATAGGGAAGTATGTGAAAAAAAATAAAAAATACATATATATATGTTTCATTTCTTTTTTCAGGTTTCCTGTCTTACAACAAATCTCATAACTCGTTAAATCATCATTCCATTAAACAACGCCACCTTCAGCAAGATTTTCAACAACGCAGACAACTGCCGCAAAATAAAATGAATCATCAGGAGTCACGACAAAAATCGTAATAGCTTCACCATTTTGCGTCTAGCAATACATCTGTATTATTGAGACAAGAAAAAGGAAAAAAAAAATGAAAACGTGTGTGTGTATATACATATATGTTTGTACCGCATATACATACATATGATTGTTGGTACACACATACATATATATATATATATTATATATATAGATACACAATGCTTTCCCCCCATCTCTCGTTTACCCTTTTGTACAAAGCGAAAAATACTTCATATTTTTCATTGGTCTTACTTTCACTCTTCATCTTATTTATCATCAATTTTTTTTACCGATAGCGTGTGTACGTTACCGTCGTTCAACGTGAGGCAGGATATTCGTGTCGTGGTACGTTTGCAAAAACAAATAACGTTGTGTGCCAACAAATAACGAATGTGGCGCAATGTCAATTTCCAAACGTATTTAGACGAAATAGAAAACCCGATGGTCACGCCTTGCGGTGAGAGACACCCGTAACGAGGGGAATATTTTTGTGCAAATGGGAAAGCAAAAGATGATAGGAAATAATTTAAATACAGATATATTAGGATGAATCAAGTTTCTTATTCACCATTCGGGACTGTTGGGGAACAACCAGGTCCCTATTTTTAACAATAAGATTATTTTAATTTGTCTATAAAAAGTAAACTTAAATAAGATGAAACCCACTGTAGAAAAGTAAGCAGGCAATGTACTTTTTACACGGCTACGTTAAGAGACAAAAATGAGAAGTACCAAGTTGTTTATAATGATTGTGTGAGGTATGATATGAGGTAAAAAGATTATTGCTTCCTTATTGGTAAGAGAAATAGGATAAAATAAATTCATTTTGTGTACATAATATATCCCATGTATGTTTATATTTGTGTTAACCGATCCTAATAATTTAATAATTCTTTTTTTTTCTCTATATTTGGAAAAGAAAACCAATATATGTACACAATATTTCTTTAAAATATAGCGATAAATATCTAGACATTAGATTTAAAATAAGACTGACACGAAGATTTAGTGAATTTGTATTACAAACAATATTTTGCTGATTCTATCACAATACGAGCACCGAGCTAAGTATTCTTTCAGTTTTTACTCTACACTCAAGAATAAACACATGTACATTATATTTATATACCGACAATTTCATTCTAGGCGGAGAACAACATAATAAGGTTTTTAAAGTAAAAGAAAATATTGTATTTTTCTCAAATTCAACACTGTTCTATGTCACAAAAAAGTATTACATTAAAAAAAAAAAAAAATTAGACAAAAACATTTGTCTTCTTAATTTCACAAATTTAAATTGTATACAATTCGTTCTTTAATGTGTAACTAAAATTGTTTTATATTTATATTGAAAGAACAAGTTTTCAAAATTTAAGTTCTTTAAGCTAAATAGAAATTTATTTAGGCAATTTTTTATGTATTATATCATTTATGGATTGCAAGTTTATTTAATAATTTGTATACAGAAATAGATTAAAACGAAATTTTGTATTTCTGTTTATAAGATTAAAAAATATACTTCTTCATTATTTGTATTATGACAATTTTGTACCCAGAAATGAACAAAGCTTTTTGACAGAAGAAAATTGAAAGTTCAGTGTGAAATTTGATAAGATTCCAGTATCTACAATATTTTTTGTTTTAGAATACAATTTACATACTATAAAATTATTAAAAAACCATAAACGCAGTTATTACATTTTTTTGAAGGTTATTTTTCTATGTATGAATAAATTTCTTACCAATTTAATTTTTTAAGTGATAAAAGATAATATAAAGTATCTTTGCAATACTTCGTACGATAAAAATGTATTGAAAGTACTGTTATAATACTTTCAAATAAACGTAAATGTGATATGATAAAATTTGAAAACAATTGTTATCGTCACATTATAAAATACTTATAAATTTGTACAATATTATGAAAATAGATATATTAATTCTAAAGAAACTGAAGGGAATATTTTATTCTTATAATCTACGTAAAAAATTATCAAAATAATTATTGTAGGTTATGTCCTCGAGATTAATACAAGCGATCTAAGTCCAATAAAGATATTAAAAAACAATCATTATAAAATAAATGATTACGTACTAAGCTTCGTTTTTTCTCGAATTAATTATAGTTTTAATAAATATGCATACGAAAAATAAGACAAAGTACAGAATAAGACAATACATTAAGCCGCGCTTCTAAAGTGCGTCGTCATCGGGTAACTTTTATTGAAATTTTCTTTCAATGATTGGATGATTTTTCGTTCAAGGGAAGGAAACAGCCAATCAACGATATACTACGTGCAATTAATTGCTTTTCCAAAACTCCATGTAGTTCCTGTGAGGTCCGCAAAATGTTCGAGGTAGGTAAAACTTGTGCGGGACTTGCTCGTCTATACACGACCGGTGCTTTTGTGCAGGTTCCGCTGCATGTGCTGACATCAAGGTGCTTGGAGCATACATTGAACTGTTTTTATAATTAACATTATTGTGAACTGTTGTTGCTCGTACCAAACTTTTTGTTTTCATCACAGCATCTCGTTTGATCGGGGAAAGCACTGAGTTGTGTCGCGTATTAGTGATTCCATCGGGGTGAGTGTACGACACCGTAAGATCGGCTTTGCCGATGTTCTTTCGACTTCTCGTAGGGGAGACCTCATAGCGAACTCGGTAAAGCAAGCATGATAGAAAACTGCGAATAATTTCGCTAGATCTCGAACAAATAACGATACAAGCCGTTAATAAACGATCGTTTAATCGATCGAACTGTTTGGTATTTATGTTAGATGATATTCCCTAAAATATCCCGTTGAAATCTTGCGATTTTTAAGCCTAGCGTTAGCGTATCTGAGATGAAGAAAAATCGCCATGCTTGCTCGTGCAACCGGACGGCCCTCTTGCCCTCGACCTCGGTCTTTCAAGCTCACGGGAGCTTAAAGACGATGGACAAGGATTTTGTTTTCATTCGATCAGCTCCCATCTATTCTGTCGAATTTTCGACTAGTGCGAGAGCACATGTTCCTTTGGAACGCGCGTGTCCGCGCGCCTTATTATACTTTAATGTAGAATTATCGAGATAGTGGCAACGTTTCAGCACGCGTCCCAAAGATTATCGTGTTTACCGCTCTCGAATAAATCCGCATTTATAGAATGATAAATGAATTTTTCTTAAATATCATTTAAACGCTAACGAACCGATTGTTTTGCGAAAAAAGAAAATTATTTTCACGAGAAAGTAGAGTTTTTAATTTCAGGCGCATCATTCTCATGTGATATCCACAGATAGCCACTTTTGATTGATGTGCATATCTATAGTTATTATTTCAGTACATATTGCGCATTTATTTTTTTCTATGTTTAATTTATGTTTAACAGTATTATGTATGCAATAAAGTGTCCACTGTGCGTAGCTCCTGATTACAATAAGCATTTTTTTTATTCTCCTATAAAATGCATGCGGCTAGTATATAGAATACTCTGTAATCGTCTTTGCCTAAAATTATCATATAAATTGTAAGCATTTTGTTTGTTGCAGACGTTTAACATTCTAATTTTAACAGTTACCTAGCGAACCCTTCCATTGCTGTTTAAGCAAAGTATTATTTTAGACGTTAGGAGTAAGAAAATGGTCATGGAGGCATCCCCTTCTCCACAGAATGTCGGTCGTGAATTTGTCCGACAATATTACACCTTACTTAATCAAGCACCTGCGCATCTTCATAGGTGATTATAATTTTTCTTAGACCATTTGGTACATTAAGAATCTATTTACAATTAACTCTTTTCGCAGGTTCTATAATCAACATTCTTCCTTTGTGCACGGGGGATTAGATTCCAATAGAGAATCGACTCCTGCGATCGGGCAGAAACAGATACATCAAAAAATTCAACAACTAAACTTTCGTGATTGTCATGCCAAGATAAGTCAGGTCGATTCGCAGCTTACCCTCGAGAATGGTGTTGTGGTACAGGTACGTGTGATCCTGGCAATGGTGTTACTTAAATGGTACTAATGATTCAATTATTCCTAGGTATCTGGGGAACTGTCTAACGCTGGACAACCAATGCGCCGTTTCACGCAAACGTTTGTGCTGGCGATACAGGCTCCAAAAACGTACTACGTACATAACGACATATTCCGTTACCAAGATTTGATCTTTCCCGACGAGGAGGAGACGGACGTGGGCGGTGTGGAAGGGGTTGTTGGCGAGTCTGTGGAGAGGGAAGGGGAGGAGGGTGTACGTTCCGAGGCAGAGGAGGAGGAGCACCAAAATCGAGGGCAGCAACTTACAGCACCTGCTGCGTCGACCGAACCACAAACTCAGCCACCGCTTATACCTGCACAACAGTCTGTACTTCAGCAACAACAAATGTATTATGCTCCACCACCACAACAATCTCACGTTAGTTTAGTATCATTTATCAGACAATATCGAAGGAGAACGTGTGCTGAGGTGAGTTATTTCAGGTACATCCTGTGATGCAGCAAGTTCTGAACGGTTCGGTTCACGAGGAGACGCCGTTGATCGCTCAGCAACAACCTCAACAACAACAGCAGCAGCAACAACAACAGCAACCACCGCCACCGCCACCTGCCCAGCAAAATCAATACATAACCGAATCCACGTCGCAGACAGAATTCGTCCAAGAAACAGAAATGGACGTCGCAGCAGAACCGCAACAGCCGGCTGAAAGCGAGGCTCAACCTCAGACAAACGAAACTCAACCGCCCGAGGCTGATCCGTATGCATCTTCCGCGCCAGAATCCGAACCGGAACACCAAGTGTCGAATACGAATGTGACCAGTAGCGGCCCGAAAACGTACGCCAATCTTGTGAAATCCTTCCCCAGTACCACTGGAGCGACTAGTCCTCAAGCTCCCAAGTTATCTATGTCACCGGTATATATTTTATAATTGCAATGTTGGTTTTCAATGCTCAAAATCCTGATTAAATTCAAATTACGGATGAGCCCGGGATCAGGGAATTAAACGTTTGGAAAATACTTTCAGCCTCCGATGACGAACTTAAGATTAGACGACAGGTCGCCGTTGCACCCGACCAGCAGTGGACCAGCGCTCTCGGCATCGAGCAACGTTTCCACGCCTCAGCAGCAGACTCACAGGGTTGGTAATCAGCAGCCGCAACAGCAGCAGCATCAACAACAGCGAGCTCCAAGAGGGGGAGCAGTACAACGAGGTAAAGAAGTTTGCTGTAAGGTATTAAAGATATTAGCCAGCATTTTATCTCCCATTGTTCTATTCCACCAATCCCGTTGCTGGTCAGATAAAGTAACGGAAATGAATGTTTTAGACGGCGATCGACGTGGCACGAGACAGAGTCAGTACAGCGACGCTCATCAACTGTTCCTTGGAAACTTGCCCCATAACGCGTCCGAGGATGACCTACGCCAAGTGTTTGAATCATACGGTAGGGTGGTAGAGCTGCGTATACACAGTAAATCGAACGACAGATGCAAAGGGGGGGCACAAGGGAACAACACTGGAAAAGTACCTAATTATGGGTTCATCACATTTGAAGATCAACAAGTCGTCAACAAAGTGTTGCAGAATCTGGTTGGTGTTTCATAAACCCTGTTCTCTAGTTTTCATGGAAATAGGATTTATTTGACTGTTCCTTTCAGCCGATTTATTACCCCGCTGAAAATGGACAAAAATTAAACGTGGAGGAGAAGAAGGTCAGGCCTAGGATGTCGATGGACGGCAGTGGTGGACGGTTGAATTCCAACGATGGCAACATGAGATCCATGGGTGGCCAGCAACAGCAGCAACAACAACGGGGTCCTGGTAAATAAAACTCGGTCGTTTGTACTCGTTTTAGATGGTCGTGGAATGTAATTGAAGTTGGATATTTTCCAGGCGGTCCGGGCGGCGTTATGAGGGGCGGGCAGCACGGAACAAGAGGCGGACGTGGTGGATTCTCCCGTGGCGGTGATGGGGGAAGGGGCGGCGGTGGAATGCGACAGCCCGGTAACCCAAGCAACCCAAGCTACCAGAATCGTCGCTAATATTACAAGCAACGTTTAAGGCATCTCCAGTTTCTTTCTTCTTGAACAAGTCATCGGTATATAACTACCATCCTCGTTTCCAGACACAGAAAAACCCAGGACTATCACATAATTACGCTTAAACATCGCTTGCATTGTTCTTTAAGAAACAACTGTAGATGGTGCAGCTCAAATTGTACGGAAAAATAACCACGAACTCGAGAAACGGATGAAATCGGGTTATCGCATTTAAGGTTAGGTTTACCTAGCTCTCGCGACTAACGTGAATATAGTCAAATAACTCGTCGAACGTTCAACACGGATCCGTTGGATGTTTGATGAACGAAATACCCCGAAATCAACGTCAGGCAATCCGCAAACATCCAACGATGAAAATACAGGAAAAAAAAGAAAAAAAAAAGAAAAAAAAAATGAAAAGAAACGTACATTCACTTACATGTATACAGAGCGACGCGTGATGATCTCGTTAGAAATGCAAGGAGTGTTTCCTCTACCAATACAGCCCACGTTTCTTCAAGAAGCAGAAATTGTGATAAAGTGAAAAAACTGGAACTAACGAAAAAAGGACAAGTAACTCGTACTCTGCAACGTACGAATATAAACAATGGGACAATGTTTGAAACAGAAGCGCTCGCGCACACACACACCCACACGTCGATTCAGAGAGACACACTGAAAAATCATACGTCGCTCTTTAATTATTTCTTTTCTCCCCCCTCCCCCGTTTACCGGTCGCAGTAAGGAGACACGAGCGGTGCAAATTCCGCTGTCGTATAAAATAAGTCACGAGCCAAACTAAGAAAAAGAAAAAAAAAAAAGAACGAAATTAAAGCGAGAGGATAAGGAACCGTTGTTTTCTCAACTTTATGGAGTACCGTCGTATAACAATTTCATATGCTCTCGAGTTAATCTTCACTGACTGCCGATGAAAACGTTCCACCTACGCGTAGAAAGTCGGCAATAATGTTTATAGGTGGTAGTTGGTCGATGTCGGTTAAGGAGTAAAAAAGCTGTGGCTGTTCTCTGGTCGCGCATACAAAAAAAAAAAGACAGCCGATTTTTTTCTCTCACAATTGACCAATTATCAATCGACCGGTATCGATTGATAAATGGGACAAGGAATCTTAGACTGCAGCTGGTCTCGCCGTTTTCCTAATTCATTTGCGCGTGTCGCTTATGCCCTATTTTTGTTTCAATCTGCTGATCTTTTTTTTTTTTTTCTTCCTTTTCTGTTTGATTTTCTTTTCTTCGTGCAATTTGGCTCTCGCTTAATTCCTCTTTTATATTCTTCATTTATCCCTTATAATTTACTCGGTCTTCTCTAACGTTCTATTCGAAATTCCAATTTAAATAAGGTCCTTAGCATCGCGGAACTCGTTGAGACTGTAATTGTCTTTCCACAAACGATTTATAGCGAGTATTAACTGGTGTTTACTCTTGTAACTATTGTGCATACATAAATACAAGGTACGATGAGTGTTTGTATGAAGATATTAAACTTAATTCCACGTCGATAATATGTCGCTTACTAATTAAGACGGTAGTGTTTTTTCGGATAAAGAGCACCAGAGGATACTTGCAACTATACAGGACGAGTTCTGCGATTCTCTACGGTTCATTTTTCTGTTGAAATTATCCTCGCATCGAGTATGATTTAAAAGAAATTGTGAAAGCAACAGTGGAAGAGAAAACAGATTCAATTGTAACAAAATAGCGATACGGTCGTTGCGCATAATACATGATCATTTATGTGCCATCTTGTCAAATTACACCACAAGTGCACGCGTGAAAATACAGAATTTCGAATTCACTGTGTTTACCATAAGCGTCGACTTAAAAAATGAAAATAAGACAGGGGATAAATGAAACTTTGTAATTCGGCAGAAACCAAAAGTGCACAGCGACTAAAACGCAAAACTCTACGACATTAAGGCTGAGAACATGTGAAAAGTAATTATTTACGTTTCTTATTGGTCCATTAAATTGTTACGTAGTTTTTCATTAAACATCCGCAATAGTTTGTAATCGAATGCGTTACACCGATTATGCCCTCGATGGAGCAGTATCGTCGTAGGACACTCGGTCCGTTTAACCTCAAAAGCAAAAGAGAGCCCCCCATTTTTGTCAGAGCCACGGGTACGTAAAACTGATGTTTGTGAAATATAAACGCGACGAGGCTGCTTCATCTTGGTCATAAATAAAGAGGCAATTTCGCGTGGTTAGGTGGCTGAATTATTTCTAATACCCAGCGATTAGAGTGCTGTCAAAATGATCAAGCGTATGCTCCTTTGCTTTATCTTATTCATTCTTGTTAACGCAGTTCAAAAACGTCGATCAGTCTAATACTTTGAATTGTGAAAATTTTATATTGAAAATGGTTGTCAATTACGTGGATCGAGTCCGTTATTTACAGTGGGTCACACAAGTATTGGTATATTATTTTAGTTCCAAGAAACAAGTTGGGTTGCTTCGGTACAGATCCTTTGAAAATTTTCTAATTTTATTATTAATTAATTATTAAGCCTACGTTGAATTTTCAAAGTTTTAAGTTTTCTAGTTTACTATTTCAATGTTCGTTCACTATTTTTTACTAATTGTTATACAAAATTTAATGACCATCAGCATATTAATTGTAATAAGCTTTGATACATCAATGCTTCTCTGATCCTCTGTAATTTTTCTTTTTCTCTCATGCGAGCATACACAGCACTTTAATTTTTTACTATGTAAGAAAATCTCCAAGATATGTATATACAGTTTTTAAGTAGATTCTTTTTGATAGCCACAGCACCTGTTCATGAAAAAATAAAATTTAAAAAAAAAAAGAGAAAAAAAAAATACAGAAAGTGTTCAAGAAGCCAGTGATAAACGTGGGATTACCTCTTTATTACTTGAACGAAAGCTCTGCAAATTTTTAGTGTGAATGTTTTTGTTTTTAAGCGACTATTATTAATAATGATAATATTAATAATAATATTAATAATAATAATAATACAAAGATAAATATAAATGAACGAAGGAAGATAAATAATTATAAAGGAATATGATAATTAGAGGATGGCGAATAATAAGTTGTGAATTTTTGTAGTATACATTTTTATTTCCGGTCTATTCGGGCCAGTTTGTGTGTACAACCATGGTCAAACAAACGTTACTACGACAAAAAAAAAAAAAGAAAAGAAATAATGTTAAAGGAAAAAATGATAAAAAAAAAAAAGAAAACAAAAACAAACATCAAATGTATTGTAACATTTTTGCATTTAGTATAATATACCTACCTTACTACCAATTCCTATTCAATATTTCTTTATTTGTATTAAAATAATTACCATTTCTTTTATATTATCAAGCTTTCCAAACAATTTTTTTCAGTCCAGGATATATCAGTGATCCAATTAAATTTCTGATTGTTTATAAAAATAAATCTCATTATTTACAGATCAATTTTCTATTAAAAAGTGAGTGGTACAATTTTTCAAAAAGCATGTTTGTTTATTTCTTTTTTTTTCCAATTTTGAAAATAACAAAATAGCCAATGGCTCTCTAAATTAAAAAGTTTTCTATGTTTGCAGCAAGTGATAGTCAATTGAAGGTGCAAGTGGATAAAAATGTTCAAAAATAAATCTTGGAGTATAGTTGATCTGAGGATACATGAATTCTGGTTCTATAATTAATTATGACTGATTATTGGACATTTTTCTTCCCTGTCGCCTTCGATAATGATTATTCAAAGAAGAACCAAGCGCGTTACACGCGGTTGACACAAGGCAAGGCAAGTCGGTTGCGTAATTGATCGCGGGGTCTGGCTCGTAAAGAGAAGCAGTGCATGTGGCAGAAAGATCAAACGGGGGTGTTGGAAGAAAGAAAAACGATGAGATCATCTCCGCGGGTCTGCTCGGCGTTTGGTGTCGCACGGAGCGCAGTCAGTACCGGTCCAGCGACCGATTTGGAGGGCACATTTGAACGACCGGAGAAAGGACAACACTCCGTGCAAAGAGACGATACGGCGAAGGTGAATAAGCTCCAGGTATGTGAATGCATCTCGGACAGGTGTGCAGATTTTACTTTGCATGTACAGGGTGTCCCATTTTATATATTTATTTATGGGGCATCCATCGGCGTAACTAGTCGGGCCCTGCCCCCTTCAATAAATAAAAATAATTTAGAATTAAAATTATAAAGAAAAATTTAGATATTTGATTTATTTATGGGAAATGACTCTAAAGTATACATTGGTTTAATTAGATTGAACTTAGGGGGTCTGACCCCCCTTCAATAATATAAATAAAAATTTAGATATTTGATTTATTTATGGGAAATGACTTAATAGGGATTTAAGGGGGTCATAAATTAGAAATAAACAATTGAACTGCAATAATAATGTAAAATTATAAATAAAAACTGTATTTTTAAAATACTGATATAAAAAAAAGTTTTTTTTTCAAAAGTAAAAAATTGTTTGAATTTATTCTTTGAAGGGGGTAGTTTTGTATATTTAATGGGGCAAATTTCAGGCATGAGAAATTCTTTGAAAATGTTATTAATAATTGAAATTTGAGGCATTTTATTATGGAACAAAGTTAGAAGTTCCTTTAATACTTCATAGAAACTTTAGCACGCGGAAGATCGTCTGGTTAATTAATTAATTAAGCTCCGACGAGGAAGTATTTCAATGTGTTATAACACATTTGTTTGACTTAATAAATGAAAGGAGTCTATCGTGTTCCATGGCATAATTTTGTCGGCAAACAAGCCCAGTAGACGCATCAATAGTAGGCGTTTGTCGTAATCAGCTTATCTTGTCCCGGGTACCTCGGAAACGATCCTTTCAGACCGGAAATTCAACATCCTCTTTGTGGAAACAAGAAAAAAAACAAGTATTTTGTTATCGAGTTCTTCAGCAAAGAAGTTTATCAAACGAAATAATTTTTGATAAAAATAGAAAAAAACGAGGCATTTATATTTTCCGGGGATCCTGATCGACCCAGAAATGTTACGACGGCGAACTTCTGCAATAACGCGATACATGATATCGAAATCAATTTTTTTTTCGACCATCAGCGAAATGAAATCTTGTCGTTGAAAAATATCCGCAGTAGTCGAGTGTTCTTCGATAGAGCGACACTTTGATAAATACAGTTCTGTTATCTGGAGGTATTTTATAAAAATATTATAATTTTGCAAATTTACTTTAATTATAGTTAATTCAAGAGGTTCCATTACTTTCAGATATCAAAGCCAACTTTCATAATTTTTTGTAGAAAAACCATAAAGAAAATGGAAAATCTATTATAACTCTGTTATTATACATATATTAAGGTATAACAGAGTATTTTTTAATTTTAATTTTTCAATAAAATGGTGGAGCTACAGCTGCCTCACGATGACTGTGTTAAGAGGGTGAATAGGAGAACTGAAGCACCTGTAGCTCCGCCATTTTGTTGAATAGGGAAAATAAAAAAATACTCTCTTACACCTTAAGATATGTATAATGACACACTTATAACAGATTTTCTATTTACTTTATGGTTTTTCCAAAAGAAATTGCTGAATGTAGCTGTAATCTCGTAAGTTCAAAGTTCCTCGTTGAAACTAGAGTAATATAGTGTTTCTATAATATCTATTAAAACTTCGTCCGATGTCGATTACGTGATTTCGTGGGCGACGATCATAGAAGCGATAAAAACAGGGTCGTTCGCGATTCCTACATGCATTCGCCTCCACGCTTCATAAATCGTATTGCCTGTTCGCGTTCTCTTCGCTTCAAACTCTCGTTTTACTGTCCGCCATCTTGGAAAGTTTCTGGAACGCCAATTCCGCCAGATTGGCCGGATGACTTAACGCGTCGCGCCCGAGGGCTCAGGATTTTTCGAACTCTAACGTGGCTTTTTTAAAATTATACAAACCTCCAGGTCTAAGAGGGTAGATCTACGGCCCTCAGTCACAATGCGTTATTAGATTACTTCTTCTTAATCGTGATACTTCAGTGCTCACTCGAGCACTCGTATTTCAGGGTCAAAATAATTTCATGGAAAAAGACGATAGTCTCCTTCGAGGAATTCTCTTCATCAAAACAAAGTAGTCTGATAAAATACAGAGGATGCAATTTCTTAAAATAATAATAACTTTCAGAATCTGTCCTAGAGAGATGAAAGTAAAAAAAAAGATATGACGTAAATTATGTAATGATAGGAGTGTTTAACATGTTCGCAGAAATTTCAAGTTGCAAATGTAATCAAAGCGAGCGAACGTTACCCATAAACCAAACAAGATATATTTAGCGTATTAAACGAGTAAAAGGTTAGGGACCCAGTTTGTAGATACAAAGAAGACCGTAAAAAAATCTCTGTTTCTGCGTTCCAGCTGGTTTATTATTAGAACGTTCCATTTTTCAAAAGCTTACAGCGATGTTAGTTCGGTTAAATATTCGAATTAGTTCACTCCTGATAGATGAGCATAGGTGTAAGGTTCGCCTTGCATGCCGGAAGTGAATGCTAATAAGAGAAATAAAACGTAAACTTAAAAGCGCGTTAACAGTCTCCGCAGTTGAAGTGGGCGTTCATATTTTGCTGATGACTTCAACGTAACCTTCGTTACTCGTCATTAATTTAGCATTGAATGTACCGTGTACAATCGTGCGCAACAGGCTTGTTTTAAGGGCAAAGGATGGAAAGTTTGAATTAATATTATTATTAATAATACTTTAAGAAGTAAATATCACAGATTCGTTACCTGCATTCTGTAAAATTAATTATTCGTTAATGTTTTTTATCAGTGAAAAAATTTGGAAAACGAATCGGGGAAAAAAAAAAAAAAAAAAAAAAAAAAAAAAAAAGCACCCCTGCTTCTTCGAAGCCCAGAGACAGACTGACTGGCCTCCGCGTGATGCAAGTAGCCTTGTCAGGTGCGCCTGGCCCATTTACCTAGGGGTGAAGTAACGCGCCCTCTGATTGGCGGAGTGCGACTGACTAGACAAGCGCGGCTACCTGATTGGTCCTTGGTATTTATTCGGTAGAACTGTTGTCGAAATAACGCGTCGTAAATACGAGTTTATACCACCGAAATGGTGTACTATCAGCCAGGTTATTCGCTAGGAGATATTTAATATTATTTCGCAACTTTGGAAATTCTCAGGAAACAAATTTAATTTTGTTATCAATGTTAGAGAAAAGGGTGATGTTATGGACCATTTGGGATCTGTTACTGGAATGCTTTTTCGTGTATCTTCCAAGTTGTCATAAATTTATTATTGAAATCTGACGCTTACGCATATGCGAGAGAAGAAAGAACAGTATCACGTGTCTCTTATAAACGCATTCTGCTTACCACGTACGTAAAGGATCGTGATTTCCAAGTACATACGTATCTGGGTTATCGCTTCGTTGCTCCTATTAAGGTCTCGGAGATTTATTATCGGTCATCGGTTTGACCCGAGCGGAATCGGTTGTTCGTGCGACGCCAGATTACTGGGAATTTTCAAAAGTGAACTCACGCATACTTCTGCTCTAATTTTCTAATAAATACATTGGGAGCACAGATGCTTAGCTAAGGTTTACCTCGTGCCCTGAATCTTTATTTTACATTCTGAAGTAACACGGTACAATTACAGGCTAATGATTAATGTTACAGAGATCGCAATGGGGACGAAACTGAAGCTCCTTCTGTTTGCGTTGCTGATGGTGTCCCTTATGGTGGACGTTTCGGCGCACCAGGTAAAACTCGATTATTAATCAACGTCATCTCCCGTAAACACCGAACGAGACTCCGCTTATGGCGATTCGTCCGTGAACCTTATACGGCTTACGAGATGCGTTAAGTGTCAGATACACGAACATTAAAATGATTATCAATGTTTCAGCGACGAAGAAAACATCGTCGTCACACAACGACGACGGAAGCGAGCGCTCAAGATGAGGTCATGAACATGCTTGAGGCTGACGAAATAGCCGAAGAGGCGGCGGAGAACGCTGAGGTCACCGTCGAAGATGGCAGAAACGAGGTTGGATCGAAGAGTCAGAGTTTGCTCCGTATGGATCCGTGCATGAGCAAACACTGTGGCGCAGGACGAGTTTGCAAGGTTCGCCGGAGATGGCTAAATTCATTTTTCCCCAGTGAATGCCATTGAATTCCAAAAGCTTGGATTTAGCTTTTATTTAAACTGTCCCTCTTAACCCGATGACCCGGGCGATTTCTCTTCATTCATAAATATGAATGAATTCGATCCTCTTATCTGCAGTGAAAAAAAGAAGAAACATAGAGTGTAATAATCTGATTGAAACTATCGTACGAAATCTTTTTCCAATTTCATTTTCTTTATACGCTGCATAGGTCCTGTGCGGAGGATATAGCCCTGGGGCACGTTTTATTTTAAACCATTGTAACTTCGTTGGATCATTTTTCTATTGGAATAGAGTTATTCCTCTTCACTGTGTCAGATAAAAATCGAATAAGAATCGGTTCGTTCCTTTTATATCTATAGGGGAAGAAAATGGGATGCCATTTGTTATTGATTTAAATATAACGAGATGTATCAAGGCGAAGATGGTGCGATAAATACAGTAGGGCCCCCTA